GTTTATACGTATCGTGTAATGGTATCGTCTTGAAAGGTGCCGAGTCGGATACGACTCGGTCGATTCATATCGGTATCGGCCGATACTTTTGAACCATGCTGGATTCCGTAATTGGCCAACATGAGCTTGACAGAGTCAATAAACCATTGTATCTGACTGAAACATCCATAAATCTCTCTCTCTCTCTCTCTCGAAGAAGAAGAGAAGAAGAAGAGGAAAGACAAATTAAGGTGAAAGTGCTCAATGAAATCTAAATATGAAATTAAACATTGGTGGATTCATTTGTTTGACAGGATCTTAGCTCCTTTAATGTTAACGGCTGTACAGTCATGGGGTTAAGAACCACAACTTTATGGCCATCCGTTCCTGCATTGGTCATGACTGTCCAAGCCTCCGAGGGTGCTGCAATGGCTGTTACGTTTTCTCATGACTTGCTGTGGTACTAGGGTTTGTTTAGAATGTCAAAAACACTTGTACTCTCTCTCTCTAAAAACTCATGCCAAAGCTACATGCATGTTCCTCGTTCAAAAATTTAAGAACTCCATCCTGAATAAGTCAGCTAGATTGAAGATGTCTCCATTACTTGATTATACATACGATTGTCAACTTTAATCACAATCCAAATCATGGAAAGTAGTCAACTGGGCAATAACAAAAGTTATTTCGTACCCTGTATTGCCTTTAAAATGTATATAAGCTTTAATACTTAACACAGAGAGTGTCTTGGTTGCCAAAGCTACAAGAAATCTGTTATAAACAATTGAATCATAAAGTAATCAGCACTAACGTATCTGTATTAGTTGTTTTCTAGAGTTTTTCCAGTGAACTGCCAATCAAACAGTTTGGTGATGTTTTTGAATAACTGGCATTGTTTGACTATATTGTAGGTTTACAAGTTTTTACGATATTGTAGACAGCACCACCCCGTTGCCATCATCACCATATAAATGGCAAGGTTGCTTTTGGTGTTTAAATATTTTGCTAATTTTTACGACTAGCCAAAGGCATTAATCATAGTCTATAAGTGGTTGAGGTCTTAGGTTCATTACTACTTCATGTTGTTTTTGGACATTTCAGAGATGCTAAGCAATTAATGGAAGTTTGTAGAACTCCACGTCATAGTTTTCAGGGCTTAATGTGTTTAGCTACAACTCATTTGGGTTGGACATGCAGCTGAAAACTCTTTTGAAACTTTAAACAAAAGAAGCATATTTGTTTCTTTGGAAGATGCGTTGGATCATGTCATTCTTTTACACTAGGATTTGCATGGTGGTTGTGACCATGATTAAATCTTGCAGCTGGTTGTTGGACCTCTCCTTTCCGTTATACATATTTACAGTGTCTGTGAAGAAATGCGAGCTGCTCCTGTCAACACATTGAATCCTCAGAGAACTGCAATGATTGTGGCAGAATTTCTAAAGGTATTATCTGAATCCACCCGTCTTAAGATATTAACCTTTATTGACAGTTTCATTGAGTTATTTTTCATCTGAGATTAAACCAGAGTGGAAAAATATCAAGCCCTGCTGACTTAAGATACCAAGAGGATCTCCTATTCCCTGGGCGGCTGATTGAGGATGCCGGTAGTGTTAAAGTCGGAAGGGCTCTGCATAATGTTGTTAGGCCTTCAAATTTTCACCAACTTAAAGAAATATTCCCGGAGGAGAAATTTCTTTTAAATTGTGGAACTAGATGGACTGACATGGTATTGGAGCACAATGCGACTGGTGAAGACGCATTAAGGGGCTGGTTGGTAGCGGCATATGCTGCAGACATGGAGAAGTCTGTTCATGAGACAAGTGCTAATGTCTTAGGAGAGGCTTATGAGAGGATGAATAATGTGTTCTCTCCATTTCTCTCTGAACTGCAAGCCAAAGGGTGGCATACTGATCAGTTTCTTGATGGAACAGGAAGCCGTTTTGCTCGATAGTATAAATGCAGTTTCAGGTAATCCATTTTTCTGTTTAGGACGTAGAAGTCATTTGATTGAAATGCCTGACTATATACAATTGTCTTTTGTGCGTGACCTGGATGTCACTGAGTTTAAGTCATGAGACAACTTGGATGTCACTGTCACGACTTTACATCATGAAACAACCTCTCAGGCTCAGCAAGCTGGGTGAGGTTGCATACATCTATCCTTTTCCATATCTCGTAGGGATTAGAGTTGGAGTTTTGTGTACTGGGATACCTTTTATTATACGAGTGTCCAATGAGGTTGAAACGAAGTTTTTTATTGTAAAGATTTAGCTTTTGAAATAGGATTGCTTATATAACCGATCATATTGACAGACCCCACATCAGCAAGCAAGCATGTTATAGCCATTTAAACACTCTTTCGCTGGGTGAATTTCATGAATAATCCAATCAACGGGCTAGTAAATGGTCCGTCGTGAATGTGCGGCTTGAATAGTAAGGGGTTTGGTCCAAAAATTACCAACCTTAAATGACCAACAACTTGACTAGTCTGCAATGCAGGCAGACATATTAGAATATATGAACCTATTTAAATCAGCCTGGCACGGTCACCAACTCGTACAATGTCATTGATACATTGAGTTAATTTTTCCCAACTGGTCGAAAGGCATCACATGATATGGAACTATCGGATATAGATTTAGACTTAAATAGTTTTTGTCTATAATCAGATTAACTTGCTAGGCTTCCCTCATAAATAAGTCGTGTATAGGTGCAGTCAATGTCACCTTAATGCAACTTAAGACATGTTGCACGATACGATTCATCGTCAGTCCCATGCATATGTGTTGGGAAATCACGATTTGCAGTGGACCAATAGTTTAGTTATTTTTCTTTTTCAATTTCTGCGGATTTAGTTGGACCAGCAGATGCCTGTATTTTGCTAAATCGTCTATGTAAATCTATTCATAAAGTACGTTCTACAATGTCTAATTATTACAATGTTCTATAGACAAGGTTAGGGGTGCAACTTGGGTTGGGCAACCCGAGCCCAACCCGAAAAAATTAGGAGTTGAGCAAGGGTTTTTAATACTTGGGTTGGGCTTGGGTCAGAAAATCCCAACCCAAATTCAATTTAGGTTGGGCTTGAGTTAGAAAATCCTAATCCGATTTCAACCCGAACCCGACAATTTAAAAAAAAAATTATATATATATAAAGCATTAGCACTAATGTTTTATTTTTGTTTTATCGTTTTCTGTTTCTCTTGATCATTTTTATTTTTTTTTTAGCATTAACACTGTTAAAACTTTGTTAAAGTTATTGGTTGTTAATTTAGGTGAATATTATGTAATATATGTATTAAGTTTAGAACAACAAGCATATTTTGGGCTCTACCTGAATTGAACCTGTAAAATAACCCGAAATTAATTAGAAATCATTAATCCGAATTCAACTCGAGTTCGTCCGAATTAAACTCGGTAAGTGCTCGAGTTGAGTTCTTCAACCCGAGGTAGGGTTAGGATTAGGGTTAGGGTTAAGGTCGAAGATTATATACCTAGGGTTAGACTAGGGTTGACTATCTAACCCGCCCGAGTTGCACCCATAGACAAGGTTAGTTAGGTGCGTCGTAGAAAATGGTGCTGTATATTTGCCTATAGTCAAAGTATTAAGCAAGAATGCATTCGTACAAATTGTGTCTTATCTAATGCACAAAATGGTGCTGTATATTTGTCTACAGTCAAAGCATTAAGCAAGCACATATATATATATATGCGTTTGACTTGTGTTGTATCCAATGCACACCGATTTTGTTTATAACAGTGCCTTATTTTTATTTTGGAGAAATTAATGTATAAGAAAGTCAAAAAAGGAGGGAAAATTCACATTCCACCCCGAACAACTCCTAGATTCATGTAACTTGCACTGATTTCTTGTTCTTTTTCCTCGTTGGGGTTTCTTTTCTTTTCGTTTTTTTTTTTCAGTTGTTTGGGAGTAGGTGAGGTTTTTTTTTTTTTTTTTGGGGGGGGGGGGGGGGGGGGGGGGTCTATTGTCCCAAAGGGAGAAAGAAAGGTGGGAATAGAGGGGTGGGTTTAGGACCTTTGAAGTTCAATAAAGGGGACGCTCACAATCCTCTACATTTCATCATCTTTGAACGATTCTTCCCCCTGCCAAAATAGTCCCTTCGTCAACGTTACTATAAATACATTTAAGATGATAAAAACAGGAATGGTATCATGGTAAGATGGCTGGCGACCCAGACAGCGGTGCCGGTCAGGAGAAAATATTGGATGTAACATTGACACCGTGTTATTATCAACACGTGGTGTTATTATCTAATAAGAGCATAACAAGTAAGTAAATAGATTTTACATATTATAGTAAAATCATTCTTCTATATTATTTCATAATCAATCACCGAATGTCTGAAAATAACCACTAAATGAAATTTATTTTATCTATTTATAAATTTATTATTAAATGATAATACTAAATAACAGTGATGACTTGTTATCACCCTTACACCCAATATTTAGTCTCCCTCTCACCCTCTAATCTTGTAAATGAGTGATTTATTATGATTAGATGATCAAACTGAAGTCATTATTGGGTTCAATAAATTTTAGTGTTGAAGCTCTTGAAGGTTGAAAGAAAATGGAAGGTAATGTTCAATTTCCAAAATCACAAAGTTATATGAAAATTCTAAAACCCTAAAACCAGGATTCCAATTGAATTGAATTTTATGTCATATTATTCTTGTTTTAGGGTACCAATTCTAATATCCGTACTGTATTATGACTGTGCAAGAGGGGAGAGAGACAAAAACAAAAGAGGAGATTTGTTGATTAGATCCCGAATTAAATTTTTATAGTATTACTCTTTGGATTGCTACACTTGCATCATATGTGAGTAGGTTGAAGTCCTTGTAAGCTGCGAGGCCCATGGAGGCACTGGCCCACCCTAGATATTTATATTGTTTATGCTATTGAATTGGGTCTCACTCTCCGTCCAAAAAAAAAAAAAAAACTCACGCAAACACATACGAAATTTGCAGCTAGAGCCAAACAAATTACGTCGATGCCTTAACAAATGGTGATCTTGCTAAAAACATATAAGGTATATTCCCGGTTTCTTCAATTATGACTTTGACTGGCGTTGATATTACCCATCGTAACTGTTGAGAAATCATTTTCAACAATAAAGATTGTGAGAACTTAATTGTGTAATCAAATGAATGATCAATGAATAACAGATAATTTGATTACATGTTTCAATAACATTAATAATGAAATTATTGTGTAAAAGTACGAAAACTCGCTGGGATCAATTGTAAGCGATTATGATTGGCCTTCTAATCAACCATTTTTATTTTTTATTTTTGTTTTCATAGATTATGTATACTGGCTTTTGAATTTTTTCTATTTAATGAATTTTTACCTAACAAATATAATGTTAAAAATATAAATGTATCACTTTTTTTATTTATGGGAAAAATTGTAAGTCTTGTAATTAGAGTATGCCGACATTTCCGACTCCGCCGCTGTGAGGTCGTATCTAATGTCGGTAAAGTCGGTGATCATACAAGAAGCTGTGATACACTACTTTATATGTGGTAGTCAAAGGTGTCCCTCTCTTTTCTTTCTTTCTTTTGTTTTTTTGGTTGTAGGGTATTCATGTTTATATTAATTACTAAAGAAGAAAAAAATATAAACAATGGCTCATCCGGATTGGGCAATGACTCATACTTACAGGAATTCGAACAAAGCTGCTCATGCCTTGGCTAAATGGCGCCTAGCTACACGATACACAGGCTCCTTGAGTGCAAATGATCTACCGCAAATGATTAGACAAGAAGTGATGAATGATAATCAAGCTCTCTGGTCCACACAAGGAGCTTAGTTTTTTTGTGGTTTTTTTCCTATACAACCAGCGAAAAACAAAAAAAATTAATTACTCTTTTGAGTTCAGTGATTAATCACCGTAATTTGAACTAAATTAAAACATGTCTTTAAGAGAATGGTTAACCATTAAAAATATGAAAAAATATTAAACTTGAAATCTCTGTATTACTAAAACAATACTACTATACTGATCAAATTTTGAGACTAAATTTAGAGTTCAAATGACATGATAACTGACTTGGACTTCTTTATTTTATGTTGTGTCATTTGGGCCTCTAGTTGCTTGGACTTTTTCTTGGGCCTCTTTATTTTATGTCGTATCATTTGAGCCCCTAGTTGTTTAGACTTTTTTATTTGGTGTCATGTCATTTAGACCTCAATAAAAACTCTGAATAATATACTGTCATGTCATTTGAATTCTAAATTTACTCCCAAAATTTAGTCACTGTTACTAAAAATCAGACTCGATCGTTAGACTTTGGTTGCTCTCGTCAAAAGCCGGAGTTGCACCGGTGGCCTCAAGTGGTGATAATTATGTGGTCCTAAAACGTCTCATCTTTAAAAAAGGCTTCTCAATATAATACTAGTTTTTACCCTACTAATAAATAAACAAACAAATAGTTAAAAGATGGCTATTGGACCTCCTTTTCGTTCAAGACACATCTCAAATATCTTCTTGTTTTTTTTTTCTTCCCCCTTTTTGACTTTTTTGGCATTGATTTGGGTATCTGCCAAATTTTACTTTGATCTTTTGAATATTTGCAGGGTGAAGATACAACTAATTCGCTTTATATTGGTAGAATGTTTAAAATCAAATACATTAGAGTGCATATTAGGTGTATGATGATACTATGTCACATTAGAGTCATTTCTCATTTGTATTGAGCAGCCAAATATTATTTACCTTTAATCTTGACCAAAGTCGTGTGGATGTGAGTATTACGGTCAACCCACTCGTAAATTTAGATGAGCACAATCACTCTAATCAAATAGTAGATAAACATAAAACTGTACTTATCTTTTCAATTTTTATAGAAATTTTTGTTTCATAAACAATTGCAGATGTAAACGCGAACTTGTTAATTTAAGATCTCCACAACAAAAGTTTTGTCATCCGAATTATCTTAATGGGTTAACTTAATGATTTATTTTCATGACCCTGTAGCCTTTTTATTCCCTCCACCCCTCAAGAAAAACAAAGAAGGGGGAGGGCTAGGGAGTTTATTTTAGGGTAAATTACACTCAGATTCCATGAACTTTCACTCTTTTTCTATTTTGCTCTTTCAACTATCAAATTTCTCACATTGCACCTTAAACTAATACTTTTATTTCACATTATCCAAATTACAAACGTCTATCATCTTTTTAGACAAAAATCGTTGACGTATTGAAGGTAAAATAAAATAACTTTTCGTTAAATATGAAACAGACGTTAATAATTAAGGTAATGTAAAACTAATCACATAGTTGATGGTGCAATGTGAGAAATCTGATAGTTGAAAGGACAAAATGAAAAGAGGGTGATAGTTCAAAGGATGTAGGTGTAATTTACCCTTTATTTTACGTGCAAGTTGCAGGCCTGAAGACAGCGTCGTTGCATGTCACGAAGGTGCACTGCCCTGTTTCTTTGACCTCCTCATTCAAACCACGGAAGCCAAATTTCTTAAGAAAACCAAAAAAAAAAAGAAAAAACTAGAGTTCTTAGGCAAATGAAAATTCTATTCTAGTGCTCGTGTGCATTTTCTTTTAAATACATTTGACTAGATAGAAGAAACATGCATGTGTACATCTTTTGCAATTAATCTTCAACTAATCACGCGACAGTGATTAACTTTAGTAATCACTAATTCAATTTATATGACAAGATTTTTTTTTTTTAATTTGCCACAAAATAAATCTTTATCGTATATGATTCACGATAATCAAATTTCAATGTCAAAGTTAATTCTTTATTACTTAGCAAATTTTAGTTTTTTTTAAAAAAATTAATTTTTGTTATTTTTTACTTGTTGACAATGCCCGAACAAATTTACTTAAAACATGAAGATTCATGAGTTTCACATTGCAAAATCAAGCTAGAATTTCTTGATTTAGAGAAAATAGCATTCGAAAAGGAAAGACCTGTAAATAAGAGAAGATGATTCAATGAACACTATATTATTTATTACATCTAATTGCTCGTATTAAAAACTATATTGATGGATCATATGAATGGTTGTAAGAAATTTCTGACCTATTCCAATGTTGTTGAATTAGTCGTGTGTTTTAATATGTTTTTATTACATTTATATCCCACGTGTTGTTGACTATGAGATCAACATTGACGTCAGGGCACTACCTTCCCTAGACATTGCGGGCGGGCGGCATTTAGATTAAATGGTGATCATCTTGCATCTTGGACTCTCTCAACTTTCCAGGTCCACATTTTTCACACTCTGTCTGTAGGCTTACTCCCGTACCTCTCAACATATATAGCAGTAAGCCATTTCCTCTCCTCAAAACCATTTCAACCTTTCCAAGGGTTGTCAACAATCAAGAGAGAGGGAGAGAGTTGATATAGCAATACATATCAGCTTTGAGGATCAAAAATGGTGAGAGCTCCTTGTTGTGAGAAGATGGGAATGAAGAAAGGTCCATGGACACGAGAAGAAGATCAAATTCTAATAAACTACATTAATCAACATGGCCATGACAATTGGCGGTCACTTCCAAAACATGCTGGTAATTTTCAATCTCGAACTGAGTTGATGATTTTTTCTTTTGTTTGGGATTGCAAGCTCATGTTTTTCACTGTTTAAACAAAGAGAAATTACATAGTTGTTGGGATATTGGCAGCCATATATGACGGTTCTAATGAAAAATGTTATTAGGATTTAATTTATTAATTTAATTTATTGTAATATTTGAATTAACCGTAAACTTCATCAAATATTGAAATTTGATGTTGATCTAATAATCTTTACGAAACCACATAATTATATTAGATTCTTTATTCCGATTCTGATATGGTTTGCTTCCTTATTTCTGTTCACAGGTTTGTTAAGGTGTGGAAAAAGTTGTCGTCTCCGGTGGATTAATTACCTCCGGCCAGACATTAAACGCGGAAACTTCAGCAAGGAAGAAGAGGACACCATTATCAAGCTACATGAAGTTCTAGGAAATAGGTGGGTTTTAAAAAGATTTGGCTTAAAAACACAAATTACTCTGAAATATTAGTGAATTTATGCTTTGAGACTTTGACTGCGTAATGGAGATGTAATGTAAGAGTGCACTCTCTCTCTCTCTCTCTCTCTCTCTCTCTCTCTCTCTCTCTCACACACACACACACACACACACGAGAAAATACAAACACACAGAGACAGATAGAGTTTACTTGGTTCTCGAAAAACAATATATTATCTGATACGAATCTTTTCACATCTTTGATTTGCAGATGGTCAGCCATAGCAGCAAGATTACCGGGACGTACCGACAACGAAATAAAAAATGTGTGGCATACCCAATTGAAAAAGAGGCTCAAGAAAAACCAGTCCAACCCAGAATCCAAATCAAAGACTACAGAAACGTCCGAGTCCGAGCAAGACACAGAAAAAGGACCAAAGCCCACGAATTTTCTGAAGCAAGAGAGATCGGAAATTCATGGGTACCTGTCCAATTCCCCAGAAAATTCATCCAGTATTGATGTCTCCTCGGTCACCACCTCCACCGGCGACAACAACGGCGATTGTTTGTGGACTGAAACACTGGAAAACTTTCCTGACATGGACGAAAATTTCTGGTCAGATGTGTTTTCTACAGAAAACACGGGTGTGACAAGCGATCTTCCGGCAGAAAATGGTGACCTTTTACTTCAATTTCCATTTTCTCCACTTCATGAAATGGACCATGAGTATATTCATGGTGTAAACATGCATGATTGGATTGACTTTTGGGATGATCTCTTTACAAGATCTGAGGGGGCAGTGCAGTGCAGAGGTTCTGCTTTTACGCATAAAATGACGTCATTTTAAGTATAAATCGATATCGTTGAAGAACAGTATTTCTGCTAAAGGGCAGAAGAGCTTTACGTACTTACCCAAAATTTCTAGGATATTGCCAGAATATTAGGGTTGTAAGGTTTTATTGTAACTTTTATCTTCTTTTATTGGATAATATATGGGGCAACGCTCCATGCGGCGCTAGCCCAAAATTTGGGAAAAAACAAATTTGAATTAAATATGAGTTTTTTTTATCTTGGGTACAAAAGAAGTGATTGCTCATCGACCAAACTACATTGTTTCATTGTCGATAACCAGTATGTTGAACGGAAAAGACAAAGAATATGGTGGGATTGTAATTGAACCATGAGTCATAAAGCATATAGATCGACGTTGATGGCTTGTTAGGCAATAATAATTCAACTATTGTGTGAATTAAAAAAATTAAGATAAATTATATTCACACCTCTTAACATTTGATTTTATTTTACAAACACTCTTTTATATTTTAAATATTATACTAAGATCCCTTGACATTTGAACACATGTGATAACTGCACCACTTTTGCACCACTTTTGTCTAATAGACGTCAACAATTTCTTTAAAAAAACTTCTTTACACACTTCATGTTATTGAAATTAACCAACGCCCATAACCAATCTATCTAACTCACCCCCTCTATTTGACTAAGTCAAAATAAATAAATAAAAAATTCAAACCTCCAGACCACTCAAAAACTGCAACCCCAACCCTGACTGTAATCTTCTGCCTCCATCCCCTTCACTACTCCGCACAAATCAAACCCAACCTTAGTCATATATTCCCCTCTCTATTCCAGCACACAAACCATCCCATTGCACCCAACCACCAGCCCCACCAACTCCCCTACGTCGTTCCTCCTCCATCACCCCCAAATCAATAAAAAGATCTCAAAAATTGAAAAATTAAACTCTATGAAAAAATGAACACTTTTTAAATCGATCTTAGGTCTGAAAAATTAAACTCTCTCCCCCCTTTGGTATGATGCCGATGACTGAAAGGGGTGGGTAACTAAGTTTGGTTGTCGGTTTTGTTGTGTGTTGGCTGTGCCTGGGAGGAGGTAAGTTCGGTTTGAGGTTTGGCAATGGTGGCTGTGATTGTGGGAATTACTAGGGTGGGAGTCTTACGAGTTGGGATGGTGAAACTGGTTTGATGGGAGTGGTGGTAAGGTAACAGGGGTTGGTGGTTGTGAGTGCTAGACGCCGGCGGAAAATGGTGGTGGTGGTGGTATTAAGACATAATTTTAGCAAGGTGACTTTGGTATAATCATTGAAATATGATAAAGATTGTTGTTAATTTTTAAAAAATTAATGTTATTAGTTGAAGTGATAAGATTGAATTTGGTGATAAAATTATATGGTTTAATTTTAATTAGGTGTTAAATTTGTTTAAGTGTTAAGTTTAATTTGAATTAAGTGTTAAATTCGTTTAATTAAGGTTTAATTTGTAATTTAGTTCACTTGAGTTTTTTTTTTAACATCAGAATGGAGGGTATGATTGACATTTTTTACTTTTGTTAACGACATCCATTATTTGACTGAATTTGAGGTCTCAATGTAATTTTCGAAATGTGAAAGGGTATCCATGTAATAAAACTAAATGTCATGGCGTGTCAATGTAATTTATCCAAACAACTATCGTGCGAAACACATGTGCTGTAGATAAATACATTTAATTGGGACATCAAATGCAAGAATCTCGTTTCAAGTCATGTCATTTTACAATCATGTGTGTGCTAACATTGACACTTACGGTGCATGAATATAAAATTCTCGGATCTAATTGACCCAAAGGAGTTTATCATGATAAAATAGAATTACTCGTAAATCCCGTTTCGTATTCATTTTAGTGGGTCAATAAATTGCATCTATGAATTCAGTCCCAATAACCGGATATATCACCTTGACCATGCTATTAGAATTTAAAAAATTGACTTAATTTATTAATTTAATAATATCACAATAACGTGATTTAATAGTATTATTAAGAATATAATTCTTAAAATTCTTTATATTTTTTTGAAGGGAGAGGAGAAAATGAGATATGAGACTTGAACCCTTGACTTTAAGAAGACAAGTTCACAAGATAAAAAATATTATTAGACCAAAGACTCGTCGGGGGCACCATTCAATCAACAAAATTGTTTAAACTTAAGTTGTCTCTCTCATAAGTCATACCCCATCTCTTTATTTAATTTGATTTTGCATGGGATCCACTTTAAAAAAGCATCTTTAGCAGATGCCAGTGGGCTTGCGTAGATTTTATGTGAGATTTGTAGTTATCAAACCTTTAATTATGATAATCAATGACTATCGTGCTAATATTTTTTTATTTTCGGACAGATGGGAAACACGTGAAAGCCGTATGTGTCTATTCGTTGCATCTCATGGTGATAGTTTATTTAATTTAACACGGTTTAAATGCACGAAAATAAATAAATTAGTCAAAAGAAATTTCAGTGCTATATCGAAAATACAGCCATTAGAAGATTAAGTTATATTTTATAAAAAAAAAAAGAATTATAACTGTTCAATGATGGATCATACATTTCATGGACCGATCAGAATGTTATGATCAATTATAAAAATATTGTGATAGATAATTAAGGGTATAATTTGGACAGATTAGGGGATCAATTCTAGTTCAAAGGTATAAAATTTTTAATCTTAACCCTAATCCGATATCAACCCGAATTGATTTCAGGCAGGCTCGTGTTTGAAATTGAGTTACCCAATTCGGGATCAATAAATAATAATCTTAAATTAAATGTGAGTTTTTGCACAATGTTTGATTATTACAAAGGCTTACATGGTCCACTAAGATGAAATTCATCAAGACAACTTATAAAGGTTACCAACGGGCCTTTAGTTCATTAATACTCTTTACCTTATGAAAGTTATATCTTTTTAAGGTCAAAGGTTCAAGTCTCTTCTCCCACTTTCAAAAAAAAAAGTGAACCTATTTTTACATTAGGAAGATATCATTTGAATTGTCTATCCGACGTGAGTTTTGTTTTTTAACTTATCTAATACAGGTTAGTATAAACTTGTTCCACTATCTAGAGTTCTTATAAATAAGAGTAAATTATAATTTATTCACTAAACTATTATTTTTATTTCACTTTGCACCTTTAATTATAAATTTTCTTATATTACACTATAAAATATCAATTTTATTTCATATCACTCCAATAACTAACTACAGACTTGAAACTTTGTTGCCTAGTAACACTTTATTTTATTTTTTTGTAATCAAATGGTTGTTTGAAAAAAAAAAAAAAAAAGGTATGCCAGAGGAAGAAAATTTGAATTTCAAAAAGGACAAAGTCATGGATGAGTATTTTCTAGATTTTTGAGCTGCACATGTGTAACAGGTAGTTGTTTATTGGTAGTACAAACACTTACATGTGCATTTACCGTTAAAAAATTGACAATTATTATCTATTGAAGTGATATGAAATAAAATTGATAATTTAAGGTGTAATGTAAGAAATTTTAAAATTGAGTGTGCAAAGTGAAATAAGGGTAATAGTTAAGGGGATAAAATATAAATTACTGTATAAATAATGTTTCACTCCTCCTTTAAATAATAATAATTATATAATATATACTTATATTTTATTTTTATATTGTTTATATAAATACAATACATGACTTCAGGTTTAACTCCGGGTTGGGTTTAAGTTGAGCACAATTTCATCAATTCGGATTCGACTCAGGTTATACCTGTGGATCTAATATTTGTCCAAACTTAATTCGGGTTGAAACTTTTAACCCTAACCCTAAAAATTTCAACCCTAATACTATTTTTTTCGAGTTGCCTTCTGGTTAGTCCGCCTAAGTTGCACCCCTAATAAATAACCTTAATTAATTATTATCAATTCTGAAATGTTGTAATCCACCATAAAATATTATCGTCAATCATAAATAACATTTGTTAGCTGTAACATGATCTTTAAGAAGTGTAACTTAACTTACAATATTTGTTTTTTCTTTTATCAATTTCAATTTTTTTTGATCAATCATAATTTTTTAATTTGAAACTTTTACTTATGACTCGTTTTGCTTCTAATATTACGTTGTGGCCTTTCTTTATGCTGATGATTTTTTTGCTTCAAATAATTTGCTATGTTGTGGTATTACCATCGTATCTTTTTTCTTTTTTGGGTCAAAGTATCCTTATCATATTGACTATGGAATATTACCCCCAATCAATAGCTTAAATGATAGTAAAGATGAATTGTAAATTCAAATATTTTGAATTCAAATCTTAGCAACTTTTTGAGATTAGAATATAAGAGATTTATCTCTCATAAACACCCCAGTGTAGACGTAAATGACCTGTCTTTGACTAAACCGATGAGTAAATTAGTCGAGATGTACGTAAATTGATTCGAATACCCCAGTTGAGCTAAAAAAACACTATAGAATATTTACTCCTATGTCACTAAGGATGTCAATGGACCGAAGTGGGGCGGGGGGTGTAGTCTTCATCCCCGTATCCGCATAAAAAAACTCCATCCCCGATCCACCCCCGTTAAAAAGTATAATTTTTATCCCTATTCTCATCTGCAGGTAAATTTCTAATCCCCTCCCCCGTCCCCACTTCCTCCATACCCACCCAAGCCTAAGTTCCATTTAGCTACCAAATTGGACTAATTATGTAACAAATTAGACTAATCTCCATTGAGCTACCAGTTCTGGCCATTGAGCTAAAACCATGCTGCTACTCCAATGTTTATTACAACATAATATAATTTATTAAAGGGCCATTAGACCCACCAACTGTTCATATCACAGCTTTCTCCTAACTGGAATCCTAATCCATAAGAAAATTCTTTGTTAGTTCATCAATTACATAACAAACAATTTTTATCAAGTCAGCAATTAAAAGACTTTATCCGTCTAGCTGTTTCATATCAATTATCACCATTACTATGGCAGGATATTTAATAAACTACAAAGTAATCTCTTTGTAGTTTTTTTTCAATTAAAGTGCAACTTGAAAGTTGAAAACAC